TGTGAGACTGAATTTCTCTCCCTGATAGCCAAGGAGCACAGTTGAACCTTTAACAATGTATCCTCCTGAGTGCTGACACTGCAAGCCTGGATACTGAGTTTTAAGTTAGAGAGACAAACGGACAGACAAGGAGAAGACAGAGACAGAGAAACACAAACAGATAAACACAGATAGGAGACAGAGGAAGAGAAAGAGACAGGAAGAGAAAGACAAAGGAAGTGAAAGAGACAGACACACAAACACACACACACACACACACACACACACACAAGGGGGCTTGAAGGGAATTACAAAAATCACAAACTTCAATGAGTTAATTTACTCATAAGGAAACACTGCAGAGAATTTAAATAAATTAGTAAGTAGCATTGTGTCTAAAGAACAAAATAATCATAGTGAAAGTAAAATTTATCTAACCCTTGGGCAAGGTCAACTAATATTACTTAACCTTGATAACTTATTTAGTATTCTTCCTCTTAGCTTCCATACATATAAAATGGGATGCAAATGCCCCATTCTTTACACACCAAACAGTTGTAGTTGCATAAAGGATAAAAATTATTGTAGATGAGAAAAAATGGAGATGACTTCTGATATATTAGTTTGTATTTCTTTAGTAGCAAAGTATTATGTTTGTGCTTAAATGTTAAGACAGTACTTTAAAAAATAATATTAAGGGTATTGAAGAATGAATATACATTCAATCCATCTTTAGCTTGTATACCTTCATTTTGAAAAATATAGTTGCTGTGTGGAAAACATAAAAAACTTTGATACGTAAATAAATGGTGTAAGAAATTTAAAATCCCTCTCCTCAATCTAAATGATTGTGTGATGCATCTAATTTGTCTCTTTTGACAGGGAAACATGTTTGAGAAACAATGCTGTATTCACATTTCATGATGCTACTGATACCTTCTGGTCACAGCCTATGCAACCACAGCCCTGATTGAATATTCTCACTTGTAGCATCCTTTATCAAGACTCCTGAGATCCCTTGTTATGATAGGCAAAGAAATCGAAGAAGTTCACATGAGCACAAATAGAGTAGATACTTTTTGAGATTCCTCAAAGGTATTAGAAAGGTTTAGATCATACTGAACATTCCATTCACACACACACTCACACACACACACACACACACTTTGTTTTTGTAAGTCATAGGGCTTGACCTCTAGGCCTGAGTGTTGTCCCTCAGCTCTTCAGCTCAAGGCAAGTACTCTACCTTTTGAACCACAGTGCAATTTCTGGTTTTCTGATGGTTAATTGGAAATTAACTCAGCCAGGGTTGACTTTGAACCACCATCCTCAGATCTCAGCTCCCTGAGTAGCTAGGATTACAGGCATGAGCCACTAGTGCCTAGACCCATTCATATATTTTTAAATTCACATTAAGATAAGTATTGTTCTATTTCAATAGTCATCTTGGAAGTCTACACATTTCTACAAGATTTTGTTTTGTCAAGATACACTTATCATAAAACCAATTACTTTTTGAATTTTGGTATCTCATTATAGAAAGTGCATTTGCAATAAAGATATATACATGTGTTTGATTTGCTTGCAGATTTTGTGTTGGATAACTGTACAGTTGAGATAATCTTTGTACTTTTCTATTCAGGTTAGTTGTTCATCTGGGCAGTATCACATTTCTTTCTACAGCACACAATGAGAGTAAACTTTATGAAGAAGACATAATTGGAAATATCCAATAGGAAAAAAAAACATGATCAAGGTGTTTGTCAGTGTGTGTATATGTGTGTGGGGGTGTGTGTGTGTCTGTGTAAGAAAGAGAGATGGAAGGACAGAAAGTGGGAGAAAGGTATGGACAAAGGTGAGGAGAAAAGGGAATTTATTGTAATGGGTAGGAGATACTGAAATCTGAATATGAATTGCAGGTTGTTTATCGAAATCAGTTTAAACAGCTTTTTTGTTTTACGGGTGGCAGGGGGGTTGCGGGGGGGGGTGAGGGGGGAGGAAGAGATCTCTTCACATAAAGATACCATCTAGTTAATTAGAAAAACTGTGAGTATACCATTAATGTTACACATGTTTATCTTTCATAGTTATGGTCAATAGAATTCATTTTAATTAGGCAACATTTTTCTCTCTTCTTTAGGGTCTTGCTAGTTTTCACAGAGAGAGGTTGGCCTGTCTGCTGTTCTCAGGGAAGTTTCTGGAACCACAATGTTAGGCCTTGACTGCTATCATTTGCAAACAAACAGAAATATCCTATCAGTGTATCTCCAACTCTGGGCAGTTTCCAAATGCACAGTGTTTCTTTAGTGAAACAACATCAAACTGAATAAGTTCTTTTCCTGTTCCCTACATGTGGTAATGGGTCAAATTAAATAAGAAAAATAGCAAGATTGGTTCAAAATGTAATGTTTGGAAAAGATCTCTCTCATATACAAATACACACTCACAGACACAAATATACTCTCCACACCTTCCCTACACACACGCATAGATTCATATACACATGCACACAGACACAAAGACATACACATATATACACATGGAAAGAAACATCTGTAACCCTTCTGTACTGACTTTCAACAGAAGAGGATTACATCATATTTTTATATGAACACATCTTGGATTAAATTCTCCTAAACTATTAAATACAGCAAGGGGGGGGGAGGAGGGAGAAAGAGGAGAGAAAGCAAAGGTACTTTAACACCTCCACACTAGCCTTGAGAATGTTCCTTCTCCAAGTTCGTCTTGCAAAATCCCTGTCCCCACAATGTGCAAATGTACACATGATTGAATATTTGATTTTTGATGTAATTGTTAGCAGGCTGGGGTAACAGCTGTCTGACTTGCCTACGACATAATTAAAGAGGAAAGTGTTGTAAGCACATCATCTCAGCTACCTCTGAAGAAAGGCCCAAACAGCATTTCTTTCCCCCTTCTTTTAATGGGCTAAAATTCTGAACCTCAAAACAATGCACAAAACTTAATGTTTTTTGATGGACAATGTCTCCATTCTGATAAAAAGTCAGCCAAATAGTCACTTAGAAGAAACCTCATTTTTTTTCTCATTTTCATCCCTCCTAGCAGCCTATAGAACTGGGGCTTTATAATCTCCACTCTGGAAGACACCCTCTCCCTGGAAGACAACTGAATTTTGTGCCCCACTGGTGTCAGGGCCCTGTGCTAAGAGGAGCCGCCTGCTCCTCACAGATAACCTCCACTCCACTCCCGGCTTTAGAGAGGGGACATTGCTCTTCTCTCTTCCCAAAATGCAACTGGTTATTTACTTGTCTGCATTTTTAATTTGCCCTTTCTATGGAAACTTTGTGAGTGTGTGTGTGTGTGTGTGTGTGTGTGTGCATGTGTGCATGCCAGAAACACACACTAGGGTTTCTGAACATTTAAGGATTGTGATATTTCACTGCCCCCTCCCTTCTTTTCCGGATAGCTTTTAGGTCTGCAAAGATGTAAGCATGTATGGTGTTTTTATCCTGCAGACTTAAATAACGTTCAGGAAATATCATGAGAGAACCTAACTCTCTGACAAAATTGACTAAAATTCTATAATAAGTTAAAAACAAAAACAACAACAAAGATATCTATGTGTCTAAATTATACACCTTGAAACAAATATCCTATGGACGCTTATGATCTTATGTAATACATATGTTCCGAACAGCCACTTTCTACATTCTTCCCTCCCCCATTTTTTTTTCAGAAAGGTTTCCAACACATCAAATGGCATAAAACGCCTTACCGCAGAGAAGGGAGATGCATTTAAAGCACCAATGAAAATGGCGTGCAGTATAATTACCTCAAATTGCTGTTCGCTTGACACCCTGACACTAATTTTATTCAAGCCATTGGGAAATAAATGTTTTAAAAGCACTGCTTTTTCAGAATGTTAGAACTAGCCGGAGGGGGGGGGGGCGTGAGGTCGGTAAGGAAAGGAAAGGGTAAAGTTTCCAGCACACAGAAAGAATTAAATAATCCATTTAAAATAAGCGTCTATGTAGATTGACAGCTTTTAATGCCCACATTTTTAACGCTTGCCCTGTACGAGGATTGATTTTTCCCCCCTTCAGCATTCCCTCACCAGATGGATTTTTGCTACTGCAGATCAGCAGAGGGTGTCAGATCTTTCCGAGTGCACCAGGCTGGAACGAGCCGAGCTTCTTAGCAACTCTCTTCTCCCCCTCCCTCCTCCTCTCTCCCTGCCCCCCCCATTCTCGCGCTCTCTTCCTCCCTCAGACAACTCGCTCCCCTCTCTCCTCCCCCCTGCACGTAATTCCGAAAGAGCAGAAGAAAGAGAAGGAGAACAAGAAAAGAAGAGCTAGTAAGCTAGAGCGCGAGCACAGGATTGTCAGAGAGCACGAAAGAGAGAAAGAAAGGGGGGAAAAGACAGAAAAAAAAAGAGGCCAAAGAAGACTAAAGCAGAAGCAAAGGCAAAGGATGGACCATCACAAAACGCAGCGGTTGCGGAAAATTTCCAGCGCCATTGGTTGGGCAGCGTGAGTCCTTTGGTCGGGCGTGATTTCAGCACCGGGGGGACTGGACAGCAGCACCGCGGGGTGGACTTCGGGGCCACCCGCAACCAGACCAGGAACTCCTCTCCAGCCAGCTCCACAGCAGAAGCGGCGGAAACCCCAGCTTTGTATCAGAGGCAAGGTCAGTCCGACGCACAGCCATGCCCAAGGCAGTGCGCCTGTACTAGGCTGCAACCCTGCTTGTTTCTCTAACATACACTCGCTTCTAATTACTAGCATTGTTCCCTTTCCGGTTAGTGAGGACCACTAGACGCGATTCAGTAAGGCTGTATTTTTTTTCTGTTGTTGTTGTTAATTTTCTATGTTTACTTCTTGTGGATACATTTTTAAGGGTTGAGGGGGTGTCAGGTTTGGGGATTGTTGTTTGTTTCCTACTTTTTTAAAATTTTATTTTTGCTTGCTTTGCACTACGTGCCTGGGTAGTTTGTTAATATAATTATTGACTGGTCTCTGGGCTATTGCAGTGCGGGGGGGGGTTAGGGAGGAAGGAATCCACCCCCCACCCCCCCACCCCCCAAACCCTTTTCTTCTTCCCTGAGATCGGACGTTGGAGCACTAAATGAACTTGAATCGTGTCTGTGGCGAGCAGGATGGTTGCCGTTACTCTGTGATGCGATCGGGGATGAATTGCTCGCTTTAAAAATGCTGCTTTGGATTTTGTTGCTGGAGACGTCTCTTTGTTTTGCCGCTGGAAACGTGACAGGGGACGTTTGCAAAGAGAAGATCTGTTCTTGCAATGAGATAGAAGGGGACCTACACGTAGACTGTGAGAAGAAAGGCTTTGCAAGTCTGCAGCGTTTCACCGCCCCGACCTCTCAGTTCTACCATTTATTTCTGCACGGCAATTCCCTCACTCGACTTTTCCCCAATGAGTTCGCTAACTTTTACAATGCGGTTAGTTTGCATATGGAAAACAATGGCTTGCATGAAATCGTTCCGGGGGCTTTTCTGGGGCTGCAGCTAGTGAAGAGGCTGCATATCAATAATAACAAGATCAAGTCTTTTCGAAAGCAGACTTTTTTGGGGCTGGACGATCTGGAATACCTCCAGGCGGATTTTAATTTATTAAGGGATATAGACCCAGGGGCTTTCCAGGACTTAAACAAGCTGGAGGTTCTCATTTTAAATGACAACCTCATCAGCACCTTGCCTGCCAATGTGTTCCAATATGTGCCCATCACCCACCTCGACCTCCGGGGAAATCGGCTGAAAACGCTGCCCTATGAGGAGGTCTTGGAGCAGATCCCGGGCATCGCCGAGATCCTGCTAGAGGATAACCCTTGGGACTGCACCTGCGATCTGCTCTCCCTGAAAGAATGGCTGGAGAACATTCCCAAAAACGCTCTGATCGGCCGAGTGGTCTGCGAAGCCCCCACCAGACTGCAGGGGAAAGACCTCAATGAAACTACTGAGCAGGACTTGTGTCCTTTGAAAAACCGAGTGGATTCTAGTCTGCCGGCGCCCCCTGCCCAAGAAGAGGCCTTCGCTGCTCCTGGTCCCCTGCCAACTCCTTTCAAGACAAATGGAGCCGAGGACCACGCCACCCCAGGGGCTGCTCCAAATGGAGGTACAAAGATTCCTGGCAACTGGCAGATCAAGCCCACCGCCCCAATCGCCACCGGTGGCGCCCGAAACAAACCCTCAGGCAATGCCCTGCCCTGCCCGGGGGGCTGCAGCTGCGACCACATCCCCGGGGCGGGCTTAAAGATGAACTGCAACAACCGGAACGTGAGCAGTTTGGCTGATTTGAAGCCTAAACTCTCCAACGTGCAAGAGCTCTTCCTGCGCGACAATAAGATCCACAGCATTCGCAAATCCCACTTTGTGGATTACAAGAACCTCATTCTGTTAGATCTGGGCAACAATAACATCGCCAGCGTGGAGAACAACACTTTCAAGAACCTTCTGGATCTCAGGTGGCTCTACATGGATAGTAACTACCTAGACACGCTGTCCCGGGAGAAATTCGCCGGATTGCAGAATCTAGAATATTTGAACGTGGAATACAACGCGATCCAGCTCATCCTCCCCGGCACTTTCCACGCTATGCCCAAACTGAGGATCCTCATTCTCAACAACAACTTGCTGCGCTCCCTTCCGGTGGACGTGTTCGCGGGGGTCTCGCTTTCCAAGCTCAGCCTGCACAACAATTACTTCATGTACCTCCCGGTGGCAGGGGTGCTGGACCAGTTAACCTCCATCATTCAGATCGACCTACACGGAAACCCCTGGGAGTGCGCCTGCACCATTGTGCCTTTCAAACAATGGGCAGAACGCCTGGGCTCCGAAGTGCTGATGAGCGACCTCAAGTGCGAGACGCCCGTGAACTTCTTCAGGAAGGATTTCATGCTCCTCTCCAATGACGAGATCTGCCCCCAGCTGTACGCCAGGATCTCGCCCACGTTAACTTCGCACAGTAAAAACAGCACCGGGTTGGCGGAGACCGGGACGCATTCCAACTCCTACCTAGACACCAGCAGGGTGTCCATCTCCGTGTTGGTCCCGGGACTGCTGCTGGTATTTGTCACCTCCGCCTTCACCGTGGTGGGCATGCTCGTGTTTATCCTGAGGAACCGGAAGCGCTCCAAGAGAAGGGACGCCAACTCCTCAGCGTCCGAAATCAATTCCCTCCAGACCGTGTGTGACTCTTCCTACTGGCACAATGGGCCTTACAACGCTGATGGAGGCCACCGGGTGTATGACTGTGGCTCTCATTCGCTCTCAGACTAAAATCCCCAGCCCCACGTGGGGAGGGGGGAGGGAAGCCTGGAGATGTCCACCCTCCCCACCACCACCACTGCTGCCAGCATCTCAGGAGGTAGCAGAGCATTGACCCAAATCTAGGGTGCCCCAAGCCTCGATGAGCCTAAGCGAACGATTAGGAACTCACTCAGCTGAGCGGCCTTGACCCTTTCGCTCCCCCGTCGAGACAAACAAGAAAGCAAGCAGACTGTGCAGAGCTGGGAGAACTGAACTAGCTTGCTCTTTTAGCTCTGAGCTCCTTTTTGAATGCAAGCCCACCCAGCTGCAGGGTGCTACAAGAAGAATGGGGTGCCCCGCCCCTGGCCTAAGGACCTGTGGGGTGACTTGCCATGGTCCTATACATATATACATATATTCTCCACGTCTATATAGAGAGATCAATATCTATTTTTCCCCCCTTGTGGATAGCCCGTCCGATGGCTCCCTGTTGACTATGCAGGGTTGGGCAGTTGCACGAAGGCATGAATGTATTGTATATAGAGAACTTTGACTTCTGACAACACAAACACAAAAAACAAAAAAAAAAAAGTGCTGCATGGCTCGCATGAAATCCACACATGCTCCAGGGACACTCCTGATCCTCCCTTCGCAGCTGGAGATGACGTCACAGCACCTACCCTCTTACCTGATAAGTCCCATCGTATCAAACTTTCTATAAAAAAAATACAGTATAATCAGAAAGTGCCATTTCGCCATTATTTGTGATTGGTAGGCCGTTCAGAACGTATGTTTACTGTGAAAAAAAAGTAAGAAAAGAAAATGTAAAGGTTTTATTTAAGACATTTGCATGGCTAAAGTCATCCGTCCATTTTATGAGTTAACCAATGTATTTTGTTGAGGAAAGTTTTTAGGGGTTGTTTGGGGCTCTTTTATTTTGATGGTGATGTTTACTTTCTTTTTTTTTTTTTTGAAGGGGAATATTTTTCTATACATATCCAATAATGCCTTCCATCTGAATGTAAAATAAGTACCCATGATTTCTATTATACTATCAGTGTAATTATTTAAGAAAAAAAAAGATTTTGAGGCAGTTAAGCATGACCAATTAATGTCACTCTAGTGCTTAGGCTGCGATCTTATGGTAGCAATTCTGTGCTGGTATAAATCTTACTTATAAAGTAGGAACAAAGAACCGAGAAAGCACGTGAAACTTACTAATTCTATTCGAGGATTTTATAATGGCATATTTTTTCAGTATTAAAGTGAAAATGTTTTCAAATCTGGGTCCTTACATTTTTCCAGCCTCATATTTCCAACTGGTAAATTGGATTTCTGGTGGAAGAGTGAGGGCGGGGGATGGTTGGGGGATGGAACCCTGGTTGGGCCATATTAAACCGGTTTCTGTAATCACCATAGCCCTTTACTCTTCTCAAGCTCCTCTTTTCCCAGCCCCCACCCTGCTGAGACTTTACTGACCTTTGCCTATCCATAAAGTAAGGTCTTCCCCCGCCCCCAACCCCTCTCCTCCCGTTCCTCCCTTTCGGAATGCGGCAGTGAATCCTTTATTAATACTGGAAATCCCTTGCTGCTGCTTTGGTTGGTGCTGCCCACACTGCAGATGGATTAAGGATGTTCGGAGAGATTTGATTTAATTGACTGCCTAGATCGGTCTCATTAAACAGAGTGGCGATTTCATTGGTCAGCACTCCTCTATGAAAGACAGCCCTAATGACCAGCATTTGAGATAGTGCTGGCATTTGAATCTAACATCTGCTGAAAACAGCAAAACTAATTAGTGCCCACCCACCCTCCCCGCCCCAGCAACTGCATATTGAAATTTGTTGAAGTATTCATCTTTATGGAAATCTATCATTATCCTAAAGAAGTGCTTGTCCCTCATCATCTGGACTTCTGGTAGTGCCCCAATAATTAAAAGAAGAAAAGCATTGAGCTATTTGAATTTTATAACTCAATGTAATTTTGGCCTCAACTCATATTCCTCTGGGATTCTAAGAAAGTCTGTTTTATCCACAGTTAAGAAACCTCACATATTGATGGGAGCTGCATTCCACTACATATCCACCTTTAAGAATATATCAAAAGACTGCACACACACACACACACACACACACACACACACACACACACGATTACGAATCAGCCAATAAACACCTCCTGTAACTAGATTTCCCATCCAGAACACCTAAAGAAAAATAATTGCCCAGAACAGTGCTATTCTGGGATATGTATTATTTATTTTAACTCTTAAAATAAAAACTTCATTATAAACCATGACTAGTCCTAAGACCATTCCTCATTTTTTCACTTGATTCTTTTGTTATTCGATCACATTTCATAAGGTAAAAATCAGTGAACTATGCAAATGAAAGCTTTTTTTTTCTCTGCATTCCTGGGGCTTGATAAAGGAGCTTGGGCAGTGTCCCTGAGCTTTTTCACTCAAGACTAGAGCTCTACCACTTCGATCCACAGCACCACTTCCGGTTTTTTGATGGTTAATTGAAGACAAGAGTCTCATGGACTGTCCTCCCTTGGTTAACCTCAAACTGCTGTCCTCAGATCTCAGCTTCCTGAGAAACTAGAACTACAGGCATGAGCCACCATTGCCCAGTTTCTCTTTTTCTTTTCCCCTCCCCTTTTTTTTCTTTCTTTTCACGGAAAGAGTGAGTGGATTTGTGGTAAGCCATCATCTGCCAGATTTGTGTTGGGAAAATTGCAGAAGGTAAAGAGTTATCAATGTATTATAACTTCAAGAAGGGGAAAAAACAGTGAGGTTTGAGAAGTAATTTATAAACAAAAAGGTGGTAATTTATAAGAGATACAAATAGTTGAAGTTAGAAAATTAGTCTCTCAGAAATTTGTCCAGGGCAAGAACTTCTCTTCATTCAATTGAGAGGAAATTACCATGTAAAAACTATGTAAAAGTGGGTAACATTTTTTAATAGCACCTCCAATAGTTTTTGAGTATTTAATATGTGTCAGGTTTATGCTAAATGGTTTATATAAAAATGTCATATTTTGACAAATCCAGAGTAGCTTAGTAAAATAATGTTATTTCTATCATACTAATGGGGACATTGAGGATGGAGTAATAACTCAGATACACATTGTAAATATTAAAGTGGCATTGAATAATTTCCTTCATACTTCAAAACCTCATTCTCTATGGAGATGATCACATATTCACTCTAAAGAAATTATTTAAAAACATAAAGCTATAAAATTCTGCTGTACATAATCAACCTAGATTCTGTTCACAAAACTAAGTATCACTAATGGATATTTGTATGTCTAGTATGTCTTCCCACAAAAGCAACTTGCCCTTAAATCAGTAGAGCTTACATTTATGCGTTCTATTAGAGTATCAAATATAATATGATACATTGAAATATGAATGTGCTGTAGAAAAGGTATATGTTCAAATTGTTAAATATAAATTATATATACATATATACCACAAAATATATAGGCTTGTCAGAATGTTAATAAATAATAATAACGTACACTAAAATTCATGTAGAAAATATATTCAATAATTTCATATTGTAAGTATTTATCATTTAAACTGACAGTTCCTTTCATTTAGTGTACTATGTTATCTCTACTATAATTATAGAGTAATATAATTATATAATTTTATATATTTGTACTTAATTATGTATATATGTATAATATATATATGAAGTATAGTGCTTAAGGTACATAATATATGTGTTCTCACTATGTATCTTCTAGCATCTTCTTTTTGTTTTGACTTTTTGTTTGTGCTCCTGTAACTGTAGTTGTCAAGTGAATTAGTGACATAGCTTGTTCTCAGTTAAAATTATTTTTAATTCATAAAATAAGAATGTGGAAATTTTGGGTGTGCCCAATGGAAAAGAGGGGGCAAAAAGCCCCAAACTACCTTGTTTAATTATATTTCTGTAAGTAAAATAATAGCTGTTGTGACCAGTGCTAATAATCTAATCTCTATATAGTTTCAACAGGGATAAATTAAAAGTATGATAAAATGTTAAAGCTATATTATTTATTGTAAAATAGTTATGAATTAAATGAAAGAGGGCTAATTTATATATATATATATTTATATATATATTATAACTTCCAGGCATTTTCTTTCATCTATAATATTACCAAAATGATATTTCCCAAGGTAAAATATAAGACATCAAGGAATTTGTGTTTGATGTTGAAACTTGAAGAAATACTGTGAAATAATTTCATAGAAGCCCACTTTGCAGGGTAATCTGGAAACATAAACTGACTTGACTGTGTTGTAACTTCTTTCGATTTGATAGCATTACAGAAAAATAAGGAGACTGAATATAAAGACAAATGAATAGTTTAATAAATACAATTTTCAAATGAATGGACCACTGGAGAATTCATCTTAGAATTTCATCAATCTTTAATGCCAAATGTAACATTTCACCTCAACTGATTGGCAATTACAGATTGCTAGATTAGACTTATTATCTAAATAATTACTCTTCTTTCATTTACTTTCTCAGGATATTTTACACTATTTTACTCTTGAAATATCTTTTATACCTAAATTTTTTACAGTGCTTACAGGAAAACTATTTAATAGTCTAAAATTTTTGAATGTCATATACTAAATTCAATGGGCAACATTAAATAGAATTTGTTACTTCAAGAATACATTCCTGGTTATCATGGGAGATAGGATCCAAAATATTTACAGATACCAATATTGACTGGTGCTCAAGTCTTTTCTGTAAGTGGAGATTGAATTTGAACAGCCCAGAGACATTCTTCTGTATATCAACCTCTGGCTTACATTTAATACTTAATGCAATGTCACTGCCATGTAAATAGCTGTAGTTGTGTACTGTTTAGTAAAGATAACAAGGAGAAAAATTTTGATATATGTTCAGTACAGATACATTTGCTCTTGTTTTGGTTTGAGAGTCTCTTATATGTTGCCTTGGCTGGACTTGAACTTATAGGCTCAAGTGATTCTGCTGCCTCAAACTCCAGAGTAGCCTTCTCTACTCATCTAGATGCACATAAAAAAACAAAACAAACAATTAAATGTCTGATTAATTTGTTACGGGTATGCAGAACTAGAATAGATGTAAAGGCAATTCTATTGTTAAGAACTCTCTTGGGGAAAGTAAATAAGGTCATTCTATTCTCAAAGAGTGCCTGAGTGTATAAAAACAAGGCACACAGTAATGTAAACATAGTAGAGTAGTATATTATTAGCAATGCTTAAATAATCTAGCTAGAAACTTTTGCATTTCTTTCTTTAATGTAAAGTAGAATTTCATTGTCAATCCTACAAGGTGACAATCTTAAAACAATGTGTTAAATGAAAAAAGATATTTGAAATACCTTGATGGTTTTACTTTATTTCTTTTTGTTTAAAACAAAGAGAAATTCTACTATTTTGTAAATTTATTAAAAATTTGTTTGGGCTAATCATTCTAAAAAGACACAGACTAGATTTAATTTCAATTAGCAAATATAACATTTTTCCATTTCAGTTAGTCAAGAAATCAAGTATTTTA